ACGAGAAATGGAAAAGAAATTTTCTTCTACCAAAACTTTTTAAATCAGTTTGCAGCTCTCAAGAAAAAAAATGCTCGTATATTTATTCCCTCATGAAAATTTACAGCAAAAGCAAAGCGCTTTTTCAAGCAACAGAAATTATAATAAATATTTCTTATAATTTCCTTGAGAGCTGGATTCTTAGCTTTAAGATACAGATTGTATTTGAGGTTATTAGCTTTAGGGGGAGTTTGAACCCCAAAACCCACCCCTTGTGTGCGCTAATGGTCGCAGGTAAACCTAAACCTATGTATCTACATATAAGTAAAAACAAATATGTATGTATGCATATGCAGATTTTTCCCCAAAAACAATTTCCAATATGTATACACATTTGCTGAATTGCACAAAGTTGTGTATGAACATATGTATGCGTGTAAGAAGATACATCCAAAACACCTCTGCAGTGGGGCCACAGATCAGCAAATAATGGCTGTAAGCATGTGTGGCTTTTGATGTCATATCGAGCTTGTAAAAGTAGCTGCATACACATACATACATATGAAATATGAACATATGTTTAAGAGAGGAGGTGTGTAGATAACTTACATTTTTATACACCAAAAAAATATCAGCATGTTAAATTAATTTTATTGCTGAGACACAAAATTGTTGTTTGGGGCTGTTTTCAATGGAATTTATTGTTTGAGAAGTTGGTATGTACTTAATAGCTGTTCTTGTTGTTGCGTGGTTGTATATAAACGGGACTTTCTGAGGGATAAATCTATGTTGAGTTATGAATTTTGTTATAGCTATCGAAGTTTATCGATGTTTTTGGAATTGTTGAAGTATATCGGGTTATCGAAATTTCATAAATTTAATGAATTACCATAGATATGGAAATTTCTGGAGCTACTAAAACCGAGTTATCGATATTTATAGAGATATGTAAATTTTTGAGTTATCGAAATTTATCCCGTTCTGGAAATGCGCAGTTATCTAAGTTTATCGAAATAGTTCTACGATTTTGCAGAGAACTACTTGGCCTTCCTTATTTCGGTATTCAGGTTTTCTAATCCTATTTTATACATATACATTGGGGTGGTCCAAAAATGCATGTTAAAAAGAAAAGTCTGAATTTTAAAGCTAGGATTGTTCTATACCGAAAACATTCACCCCTGTTTTTTTTTTATTTGGAAATCAAAAAATATTTTCATTCTAAGTGGAAACTAGGTATGTACAATAGGGTGGTAAAAAAAAATTAAAGCCGGAATTTTAAAGCCCTCACCCCGTAAGATTATTTTATTTTACCATTTTTTTCATATTAACGATTTATTGGATTTTCTTGGTTCCTATAAAATACAGTTACTATTAAAAAATGGTTAAATTAACAATTGGGTATTATTATTGGAAGTCTCCTGATGAGAAACAGAGTTCCGATCGACCAATATTAATTTTCAAGAATTCTCTACCATTTGTATGGAAAATTGCTTTTTCCCTAAACAAAATACATGGAAAACTTTGAGCGCTTGAGTTGCGTCTAAATATTTTCTGATTTCAAAATTTAAAAAAAGAGGTGTATTTTTTCGGTATAGGACAATCCTACGGGATGAGAGTATTAAAATTCCGATTTTATTTTGTTGCACTACCCTAATGTATATAGTGTCCTCTTAGAGCGCAACTCCGAATTCCGGTGTGATAAGTAATTTAGACCATGTTTTATGATTCGGTAGGAAACGGTGTCATCTTTTTGTAAGTCATCACAGTAATTTAAATGCATGTACTAGGGTGTTCGATTATTCGCCTTTTTCCAAAACCGGGATTTGAGTTATTCGAAAGCTTGCAATTTGAAAAAACCGGTTCCCGGTTTTGGAATTAAAAAAAAAAATCGGATAAACCGGTTTTGTTTTACATAGCTTTCATATAGTGAAAATGCTTATTTTGGTATGAGGCCATGACCACAAATTACAATTAAACTGTTAACAGTAAAGGTAGCCTTCCTTTAGAAAAGAGCAAAGCAAAATAAGTGCAAAGTTTTTTTAGATCAAAAATTAAACAAATATTTTTTTGTTAATACTCTATTGCATTTTTTCTGACCTTTTTCGGTTTTGAGTAGTTCTCTTGTTATCGTAGCCGAGTGCTTAGGGACTTACTGCCACTCCGGAGGCCCATGGTTTAATTTCTGATCTCAGCAACATAAAACAGTTTTTTCAATTAGGGGTCGCCCCTCGGCAGACAATGGCAAACCTACGAGTGTACTTCTGCCATAACAAATCTTATTCGGAGGTGGAGTAAAAGTGTAGATCTCTCGATTTGTGTCACATCATCAAGAAGCGGTCAAAATGTTTATGAAATGAAAAACCCGGTTTCCAAAAAAACGATTTATTCGATATTCGAAAAATTAGGATTTCAAAAAAAAAAAAACAGTGTAAACTGGTGATATACATATTTGTACATACATATATGCAATTCATCACTTAGTCAAAATGCAAGCATTTCTACAGCACAGCTGCGACCAAGAAAAATTATTTTTACGAAAGCCATTCCCTCGAAAAACGCGAATATGTATGACCACAGCTGTCGATCAATACCGTCGCTTGTTTGTCAACATCGCCTCTCTTGCTTGTCGTCACATAAACTTCCTGAACTTGCTGAACTTTCATACTGGCAAGCAAACATGCAATATCCATCTCTTGTGCGGCATACTGTTAGGCGTTCAAGCCCATGCTATACATAAATATATATGGATACGCAAAGCACCAGCCAAAAACAATTCGCGTCCAAAATGTCGCTGGCACATGGCAAATACAAGCACTACAGAATAACAAACAACAAAAAAAAAAAAGGTAAATACTAAAACAACAACAATATTGTTTTTGAATTTCTGCTGTTGTTTCGCTTTTTAAATGCTTTTATTAATGAAAACCCAAATCCCCCAACCAATTTTTGTTTTACATTGCATGGCGCAGCACTGTAAAGCATCGTCCTTGGCAAATGGTTTTTAATTAAAATTTGCTATTATCCTTCGTGTAGCGAAAGTGCCGCCTCTTCGCTAACCCTTCGCTAAACAAATTGCTATGTGAGCGCAGGTGTCTGAAGCCAACCACTAGTGGAATGGTGTGATTTTATATATATATTTTTTTGCCGCGAGATTTACCTTTTTTATTGCCTTTTATGCAATTTTTATTGCTGACTTCCTGCCGCTGCTCACTTTAATCCATTCTCTTAATTTCCTGCAATTTTTTAATCTCACTCTTTTGTTATGTAAACGTAATGGTCACGTAAGAGAAAAAGTGGATTTTGCAAAATTTTTTGTTTCATTTGTGGAAAAATTTATACATTCAGTTATGTTAAGCTTCCATAGAGATGATACTCGTCAATAAAAGTATTGACCGATAATTTTTTGCGCTTAATTTTTTTTAGGCATTGGCAACAAAAGTAGTCGTTAGGTGATTTTTGGGTTTGAAAATTTTCAAGATTTTTTGAACATTTTTCGACACCGTTCACATTTTTTCGGGACTTTTAGGTATTTGCGTAAGCGTTTAAAAGTATTTTCGGGAAATTTTCAATTATAGGAGACTTTTTGGATTTTTTTAGAGAATTTTTGAGTCTGATCGTGTCGTAGTTTTCGAAATATGTGGGGACTGTTCGAAATTTGTTTGGGGTTTTTTCAAGATTTTTATCGTCTTTTTGATCTCGGGATTTTTTGTGACTTTTTAGTCTTATAAACTCTTCGGAACAAATTCGGATTTTCTCTGGACTTAACTGGATTTTTTTTTGTAATTTCTGTAAATAAACTTGCTTTAGTTTTCAGAATCTTTCGGACGGTTTTTATCGGTCTCTCAGCGGGTGTATTGACAAGGGTGTTCGATCATTCACGTTTTCTCGAAATCAGCATTTTTCAAAGATCCTCGTCTTTCGAAAATCGTTTTGAAAAGATTAAAAATATTAATTCCAAAATATCTGAAGTAAAATCAATTATTTTATACATAATTAAGTTTATTTTCAATGGTATAGAAGTTTTATTTCGTTGAACTTTGTGAAATATAGGTTTTTTAAGTTTAAGTTAAGTTTTTACTTCTTTGCGGACCTTTGTACAATATATTTTACAAATTTGGGGTAGCCCTAGTACGTACCCAAAAGAACTTTTGAACTTTTTTTTTGCTTTTGGTATTTTAAGGCTCTATGAATCTTGTAATTTAGAGGAAAAATTTTTATTTTCATCAGGGACGGATTTGACTGGAAAGGGTTAATGTGGTTCACCGATCTTAACAAGAATAGCTTGCACAAGCAAAAGTCCTTTGTTGGGAAAGACTCGAGCAAGTAGAACCAACTTGGGATCTTGGGAATGAGAAAACATCACCCGCTGAACCGGATCGACATACAAATATAGTCTATTATAGACGGGCCATTTTTTGCGAATCAAAAAACACTTACGGCACCTCCCACCCCTTGAATTCCAATATCGGAGACCAACGCAGACGAAGAGCTCGATTTGCTTCGCGAGGCTGGCGATTCTGAGACACAACTTCATCCGGGATATTGTAGCAGATTAAACTTTTCAGGCCAATTTGAAGAAGCTGCACCGACGACACCTCTTACACCACTCACTTCAACTTATCTAACCACCCTCTCTCTACGTCACTAACCCGTGGGATCTGACCTTTTCTTGGGCCTGCCGCTACTTCACTGACTCACTGGTTTAGGCAGAGTTTGGTAAGCTGTCTTAGCAAAAAAAAAAAACACGGCAGATATCCGTTCGGTATATAAATAAACTAGGTGAAAACCCGGTTTATTCAATTAAAAAACCGGTTTATTCGGTATTCGAAAAATCATGATTTCAAAAAACCGCCTAAAAATATTTAAAAAAAAAAAAGTTTTCAAAAGCGGTTTAGAAAATCGAGTCAATCACCCTGGTCGGAACTTTTTAGTGTTCATTGTGTTTTAGTTTCCGTGATATTCGGGGTATAATTTCAAGACTGAGTGCAATATTTTTCCCAAAATTATCGGAAGGTACTCACATAGGCAAATTTATTAGAATATTGTATCCTCTGTCTAGGGCTCGTACTATTCGCTTACCTGCAAATAAATAAAAAGTTAGATAAAAATTAGTAAAGAATATTGAAAATATCTTCTTCTACATAAAGTTAAATATGTACAAAAATTAATAGCTGTATTGAGGAATGTTATTAACGTCGCTTACACGCGCTAGAGATCAATGGGAAAAAAAGCGATTGCAGTAGATCTGTCTAGGAGATTTCAGTCCTCATTGAATTTCAATCCCAACCATTTGCAGAGGAAGGGCTTCAGATGCCAAGAGCGTTAATGGGTACATCTAACAAAATACGCAATTACTTATCCAGCCTAGACGGCGAAATACCTAGCGTATCTCCGGCACGGTTCTATGTCCTATTCACATGCTCAATCAACCCAACTGAACTAACATACCTCTGTCTTTTCCTATACCTCAGCACGTTTCATTTAGCACGGACAGTCGAACACACAGGCACTCTGGATAGAGTGACCATAACATCTGGTACCGACGAGACGCGCCTGAAGCAGGCGGAAATCAGAACCCTTTGCCATCCTTTAACACTGATTCTTCTTAGCTTAAAAGTGCCCGATCCAATAGAACCGTCTATAGTGTTAATATTGAGCTAATATTTAGGGCAGCAAACCCAGCAGTTTAACGCATCTAAATGCAAGACAGAAGCAGACAGCGTATTGATCTCATTTGATTCGACAGCGCAGGACAGCATGAGGCGCAGTGAAAGGACTGTTGGCAGCGATTACAACGACGACATTAGAAACAACAGATCCGAATTACTAGACTCAAAATGGCGGATCCAATATAGCTTGTGGGCATGCGGAAAATTTTTCGGGGTTTCAAAAATGTGTAATTATCAGAAAATTTAATAATTGTGTATACATAATATGGTATTGCAAATATACCAGCAGAAATGCTCTTCACATCAATCTTAAAAAGATAGGAACAAAAAAAGAGAGCATCATAAATTTGCGGAACTAAGCAATGTTACATAAAACACTGTTCCGCTTTTCCAGAGTAATTGAGTATGTTGATTGCATTCAGTAGTATTTGAAAACTTCATAGGAAGTATGGGAATACTTATGAAGTTTTTTCTTTTAAAATGTTAGAATTTAACATAATGTTACGAAAAGACATACGTTTTCTTTTTATTCCAATATGTACATATATACATAAAATATTGTTTTATATTTAAAAAGCGCCGACGTCGACATTTCTCGCCGGACGCTTAAATGTTTGCAAAAAAGTTCGAATCTTACATACATATGTATGTTCATACATAACAACCATCGAACGGTAGGTAGCAGCTTTCATCATTTAATCGATGATTTATGTACATACATATTATGTAAATTTTTTAAATAACCAAAAATGTGTGTTCATCCTGCGAAATCGATATTTTCGTTTCCCAATACCAGGCGCTCATGCATGTGAAGTAACAAGTTTTCTATTTCTAAGGGCCAATTTCATAATGAAACACTTAAAGTTCCTTTTACAAAAGTTTCCTTTTAGTTAAAGTGCAATTTAAATGTACTTTAAACAAGAATTATTTTCATAATACAATGGCAATTGCATAACAAAACAAAAGGTTCATTTAAATGAAAATCACAAAGTTGCCAACGCTGATCTCGGCAAAATGGCATCAGATGATTGTCATAAATATGAAATTATGCTACGAAAATTACATACTTTTTTTTCTTACAAAAGGGGCCTTTATGTCATTTAAATTTCCATTTTGTGTATTTAACTAAAGAGCCTTTATGGGCACCTTTAACTTTAGAGTGGCTTTATGAAATCGATCAGCCAGATAAAGCATCCTTTAAATTTTAAAGTATTCTTTAATCTTATTATGAAATCGGCCCTAAGCAGAAAATTGTTTTGTATAAATTTTTAAATTTCCAAAAATCTACTTTGTGAATTTCAAAGGCTGCTTGCTACATATGAATTAAAAAGTGCAACAAACAAATGTGTGCGTATGGAAAGCTTGCTACTTCATATGTATGAGCGCCTGGTATTGGGAAATGAAAATATCGTAATGTAAAATTAAAAATTGGTTCTATATGCTGATGGTCAAATATTCGGAGCGCCCTACATTGTTTCGCCATGTTTGTTATTTAACATAAGAGTCAGCTCTAACATTAACATTATGTAGCATTAAACGAACACTTAAAAAAAAAAATACTCAAAAAATACTTGTGAAGGAATATCTTTTTTGTTGAAGTTTAACAGCATGGTACGGCTGATTTATGTTCCTCTTGTTTTCCGAACATAATTCGTTTGAGTACTTTTTTTTAACCTTTTTGTTAGAGTATGAGTAGTTTACATATTTGAAGAAAACTTCACAGTGAAACAAACTGAATTCCGATGCAGACCTTTAATACATAAATAAATATGTGAAAACATCAAACTTTTTTGAAGTCATATGAAAATTTTTTATAAAATTCAAAATACACACCGTGTCATAAATAAAAGCGCACCACATTTTGACAAATTCTTACAACTTATCTTTTTGTTATTTCATTTTCGTTAATTTTTTATAAAAATATAGTTTATTATGTCCGAATAAATCCAAGTTGCAAAAGTTTTATATCCCACTAAATTTGAAAAGTTCAAAAGTTATGCGGCAACATAAATAAAAAAAAAAAATCCGACGAATTGATAACCTCCTCCTTTTTTCGAAGTCGATTAAAAATAAAAACAGCGTGCTAAAGTCGTTCTTACGCGCGTCATTGTTTATTTATTCAGTCATTGTGTACTTTTTAGTCAAGGATATAATATTTTAATTTTAGAATTTCTTATTTACGAGTATATATATATGGGTCATTCCATACAATATTTACACCTCAAAATTTTTTTGGGGTGAAATATATTTTTTTACATTCTTTATCATTTTGTCATGATATTCGAAAATCTAGAAAAAAAACCTTAAATTTTGAACTCACGGGGAAGTATCTTTTTTTCAATTGTTTGCAGTTAATAAACTATTTTTGGGAGAAATTAAGTTAAGGTATCAAAATGTGCATAATTACCTCGGCCTTCCAGGAGAATTGCATTAAAAATCTCATTTTTTACTTTTTATTTTTTTTTTTATTAACTTAATCATGTTTTATTTTTATTTTTTCCAACCTGAAAAGTTGTCAAACTTTATGGAGTACGCTGTAAAAATTTGAGAATGGAAACACATGATGAAGTTAATAAAAAATAAAAATAAAAAATGCGATGTTTTAATGCAAAATTTTTTATTTTATTTTAATCTATCTAACACTCTCATGGAAAGCCGAGGTAATTACGCACTCTTTGATAGCTTAACTGATTATCTGCGACAAATAGTTTATTAATGGCAAACAATTAGAAAGAGATACTTCTCCGTGAGTTCAAAATTTCGTGAATTTTTTTTCGAGATTTTCGAATATCATGAATGTAAAAATATATATTTTACCCCCAAAAAAATATTGAGGTGTAATTATTGTATGGAATGACCCATATTTAAAATTTGAATTTGTGAATTTGTTATTTAGCAACACATCCGGCAGTTTATGTTTACTGAGTATCACAAGAGTACGCAAGCGTTGCTATAAAAAAAAATACTTATTCGATAATTTACACAAGTGCTTTTAGCAAATTTCATAAGTTCAAGTGCGGCAATTCGGATATTTATTTATTTAGCCAAAAGCATGCGAAAGAGAAATTAAATTAGAAGGAAGTAATGAACCCGCATGGCGTTGAAACGCCCACACTTAGATCTCAAAAGCTGCTAACTATTCCTCATGTTAGTCAGAGTTATAAGCGAACGGTTGCCATATTTTAACAAAATCAGCGAAGCCGTGTCTACGTGAAGAGAGGTTTCGCATAGTGTCGAGCCTTTAATATCATCAACAAATCACCCTGCACCGATAAAAAAAGTTCTAACTTCAAAAACTTCACAAAAAATTTCTTATCATAATAAATATATATTTAGAGAGATCAATATGACTTTTTGAAAAGGTGACAAGCCTAATAAAGATCTTTTTAAACTAAAGCATACATATTTCATAAAACTTGTGTATACTAAGTTAACAAAATTCGGCTTTTCCTACTGGTAGACATCCTTTTCAAGAGTATTTTCAAACTTAAATCTCTTTCGTCTGACATTGCGATGCAAATTTTAATTAACTGAATTTGATTTTTCAAACACATGGCAATCCTCCTAAATATATGTCAGAAATAAAGCCTTAACAAACCCATTTCGATTGATTTCCATCTTTCAGTAAGCCACTTAATTTACTAAATAATTTGAATATAATTTTAAACACGTGGCCACCGCCTCCAAACTTTATAAATGTTCAAACAAAAGATTTCTCAACACTTTTTTGTTTGACACCTGTATTTTAATATTCCTTTCGTTTCCTTCGGTTGCCATTGTGATATATATTTTAATCAATATTAAGTTGATTTGGTTGTTTTAATAATGTGGCAATCGCCTAAATAGAGTTCAGAAATATGGCATTTTTAAAACCTATTTCGATTGATACCCGAATTTTAATAATTCATTAAAATTTTTAAACAATTTACATTTTTTAAACAGGCACTGTCAGCACTTTAAAAATATTTCTATTGTTCAAACTAAAGACCGCTGAACAATTTTTTATTTGACACCAGTGTTTTAGTAATTAATATGGTTAACTTAATTCGACATTTCAAACAGGTGGCACCCCTTTACAAAATATTTTCAAACTTTTTCAATTTCTCTCGTCCGACACTAAAATTTGAATTGGATTTTTTGAACAGTTGGCAACCCTCCTAAATATTAAGCATTTTATAACACATTTCGACTGATACCTATCTCTTATGTTTTAAATTATTTTAATGTTACTTTATAAAAGCGCGGTAACCATCTTCGAACATTATATTATGGGCGTATTTAATAAATACTCAAACTAAGAATTTCTTAAAACTCTTTCGCTTGACGCCCATATTTTCAAATTTGAGATAATCTACGCATAAGATAATTAAATTTTACCCTCTTTGAAATTAGTTTCCAGAACTTCTTAAA